AAATAAATTAATAAAATCTAACAATTAAAAAATATATATCATAGAGTAATAATTTGAGTTGATAATTTTTTTAAAAAAATTATTTTGAAAACGAAAACTAATAATATATAATTATTTATTTATTATTTATTGTAATGAAAATTAAACAAAAAGTAGAAAAGTAAAAAATTGAACCTCATACCTCCAGTGCACATAATGACCCCTTTACCATATGAGCTATCATTCTTTTTATTAAACATTGATACAATTATTAGTTAATATTAGTCATTATTTACCGTGTTTAAAAATTAAAAAAGAAAATATTGTTGAAGGAAAACGAACCCAAGCATCTCATATGGAAAGACATCCTCCCTTCCAAATGATCTCACACTCAAAATCCCTGTGACAGTGCACCTAGAAGTACGTAACCGGTGTTTGAAATGAGTTGACAATGGTTTAAGCGAAAATGAATGCAGACAAAATCCATACTAACAGAACACAACATACATTGAAACTCCCTAACAAAGCAAAGGAGTTGAAGGTACACATGAACAATCTTTCTCATAATATGTAATTCAGTGAATTAATCAAACATTTTCATCATTCGACCAATTTACTTAACTGAATCAGCCGCCTCGGTAACATCCCTAGCACACTGGGAAACATAAGGTTTTAGCTGCAAACAAGAAGGATAAAGAGAATTAGAACTTGTTATATAAGTGTAACTTCCTAACCATCTTGAGACTTTAATAGGAAATAAGAATTGATCTTTTCATGAAATCAGTAACCAATACATCTCACGGGATCATACATTGGAGGATCGTTAATAGTCATTAAGATTCAGATTTATTGGACCGTTTTCCCCTAGCCCCCAGGGATAACTCTTGGCTACATGGAAAGGTACAACCCTTGTTATACTCCTTCCTCTGTCGGGAATAGCAGGTCGGAACTTCTTCCAGTGATTTATGTGCAAAAGGTTCAGACACATGGAAGAAGAATTGGAGGCTATTGGTGAAGGATGGCACAGGCCTTGGACTCACCTCCTCCACCAAGAATTTCGAGCTAACTCTGATAAAGTTCAAGCTACAGAACATAAACACATTTCTAATCATCTAGATCATTACCAATCTATTATGATGATTCGGCATGCTACAAAGCTACCCTTTACAGGTCATCCCAAATATGTTGAAAGTTGACCAAGATTGGTTTAATAAGCAGAGGTCAAACTAGCAGACAAACAACCAAAACACCGGCTCATAAGCCTTTTTGTTAAGATATCAGCTCATCCAGAGTTTAAATCTCTCCAAAAGTTATTCTCCAAAATTACTGGCTTGTTTTGCCTCTGGATGCTTTTATGTTTC